GGGTGAGTGGTTGAGTGGGTGATTAGGTAGGTGGTTGAGTGGGTGGGTGAGTGAGTGGGTGATTAGGTGGGTGAGTGGGTGGTTGAGTGGTTGAGTGGTTGAGTGGGTGGTTGAGTGGGTGGGTGGTTGAGTGGGTGATTAGGTGGGTGAGTGGGTGAGTGGGTGGTTGAGTGGTTGAGTGGTTGAGTGGGTGGTTGAGTGGGTGGGTGAGTGATTAGGTGAGTGGGTGGTTGAGTGAGTGGTTGAGTGGGTGAGTGATTAGGTGAGTGGGTGGTTGAGTGAGTGGTTGAGTGATTAGGTGAGTGAGTGGGTGAGTGAGTAGTTGAGTGAGTGAGTGGTTGAGTGGGTGAGTGGGTGGTTGAGTGAGTAGTTGAGTGGGTGATACACAGATCACACGTGAAGGCGCGATTATGGTGAGAAGTACTTGACGTTGCCGAGTGCCCTGACGCGTGCGGCGGCGAGCAGGGACTGTGCGGCGATGCGGTGGCTTACGGGTGATCTCAGGTGTGAGCGGATCCTCAGGACGTCGAGGCGGACGACGGCGATGTGCAGCAGGTACAGGAGCGAGAGCGACCAGAGGGCTAGGAGAGTCCAAAAGAATTTCTCCCTAATCGCCCACAAAAATCCTGTAATTTTCTCGAACACGATGGTATGCAGTGTCTTCTTTTCGCCTGTCACTATCTTCAAAATTGCGCAGAAATCTGCGCAGGTCCTCTTACCTTCTACTCCTGCTACACCACTGAGGCTGCTGACGCTCTCGTGTATGAATCCATATTTGTAGAATGTCGGACGAATATAATTACAGTCCACAATGGATCTACATGATTTGTCATGTTTGGAGTCTTTACCATACGGCAACTTCTTTGTCTTGCACCCCTCACTGCATTTGCCAATTTTGCATCTCCTAGCTTCAGCGCCGCACGTCTTCTCGCAGTCCTCCAACAGTCTCTTGAGCAAGTCGTAGAAAGACTCAGTCAAGAAGACAATCCACGACACGTACTTGTTGGCGTGCTTTGCTGAGAACATAGTACATATGTCACTGCACAAAGGTTTGAGATACGGTCCACAGGGATGCGATGGAGTGTGCGATTTTGCATCCGCGCAGTTGACAAGAGCATACAGATCACCGGTGAGGTGGGTAGTAGTCTGATCGGCGGGCTTCGGAAGAATATGATTGCTGCTTTTGAACATATCAGTGATGTCCAGTGTGGTGGATGGGTTATCGAAATCGGCGCCGCTGACCGCATTGTTAAACGCCGTCTCCCTGTGCTGCTTACGGTTCTCATAGCGTTTACTGCTGTCTTCCCACCCACAAAGCAAACTGTAGTAAAAGCCGAACATATCACTCAGCGATTTCGGCGGACTAGGGAGAACGCAGTTGAACAGGCTGCATATCTTAGTGAGCGGAGACTTTTGATTGCCGCAGAAGTCAGCAAGCACTTCCATGAGGAATTGTCCTGTTCGCCTGTGTGACGCTAATCCGGCAATTCCTGCAAAGCCCATAGGCGTTATGCACGGCACACCGCCATGGCTTTTAAGTGAACACTCAAGTTTTCCCCTCTCAGACTTGAGGCTGTGAGGGAGGAAGCCCTGCAACCCATCTTCCAGGAATGATTGAAGTGGCGATTTCACACCGCACATAACACGTTGCTCACACTTTTGGTTACACTTTTGGTTGTGCTTTTGGGTAGCACTTTGGTCACCCCCTTGACCAGGGCACTGCATGGAGTTACACTTCCATGCTGACCCCCCGACTCCATTACCATACCAGCAGTCCGCCCAGCCGCTGAGCGTACTATCGTACCTACACTGCTGGAACAAGAAGTGGAGCTGACGGTACACGCGGTTGATGACATCGCATATCATGCACAGTAAAGTGTCCATGTTCGTCGGATATGACAGGCCTCCCTGGTTGATGTTGTAGTCACACGCGTACACGCCGTCATCATGGCCGAAGCCAAGGACACCAGTGAGGACGTCGTAGGAATAATGGCAGACGTCCTGAAGGGCATCTGATAGATTTGACACTGCTATTGGATGTGGATAGGCTTCCAACGACAGGTCATTGAGGACGGCAACTGTGGGACCTTCATCAGCGTCGTCGTTCTCCTCATCTTTCTCCTGATATTGCTCTAACAGCTTATCATAGCCGTTGACTGACAAATCGGCATACACGGGATTGTGAGTGAGGCCACAGAGCCATTTGAGCATGTCGCAGACAGAGGATGGATATGTCTTGGACTGTAATGTGGAGTAGTGGCAAACGGTGTAATATTGATGGAGGTGGTCGAACAGCTGCTTGAGGATGCCATGTTGCTTTGGAGACTTCTTGTCATCTGTCTCCTCATCCTTGTTTAAGGGCTTTTCTTTCTTCAAGTCTTCGTCTCTAATTAGATAATCTTTGCTATTAATTTGCTCATTCAACTTGCCGTTAATATCCCCGCCCCTGCAGGCTGTGGTATTCCGCAACTCCCCGGTGTGCTTGTTCGGAGCAGAGGAAACGCGGTAACCGCAGCGCTGGAAAAAGCTTCCGAGAGGATTAGTGATAATATTTCCATGCGTCCCGGTTTCGGTCAAAGAGATTGTCTTGTTTTGCCAGATGTCTTTACTGCCACAGTTGCTCCGCAGCTCACTGAGGTTGTCCAACAACATTTGCACGCAGGTCATAAAAACCTTGGCGCACATTTTGGCTTCCTCAGTTGGTAGAGTTTTTTTAGATTTACGGTCGCGGTACTCCCAACTAGCTATAGGCGGAGCGCCATCATAGCTGCTAACATACGCATAGCCTAGCTGAGAGGCCAGGGCATTGAGCCCATCTTTCAAGGCATCAAGCAATATGGAACACGGCTCAGAGAATTTCTTAGGTTCGAAGTTATGCAGTGCGAGATTAAGATTGTCAAGGTTTTTGATAAAAGTGTGATCGAAGCGCTTAGATTCTTCAAGCTGTTGAAGCATATCATGCGTACTTTCCACGATGGGATTAAATGATGATTCGAATTCCACAAAATCATTTTGGATATATACAGACGTGAAGAACACATGAAGGAATTCTTTTATTTCTTTGACGAATTTATGTTCTTCTGCAGTCACTTTGGATTTCGATATTAAATCCTTTTCGTGATCTAGCACTGTACGTAATAATTTGTCGAAAAAACCTTTCAGGCCTTTTCTATTGTCTTTGGCAATTATTTTATCGATTTGAGTTTTTTGGTCGGTGACTAATTTATGGAGCGCTTCCAAGTCGGCCAGATGGCCTTCGGCGAACGTGGATTTTACCTTCGTGTACACCTCTTTGAAGGCTTGTTCGGCTGCTTCGGTGAGCGCAGTTTGCGTTTCATTGATTTGGCGTTGCAGGGTCTCGCGGGCGTCATCGACAGTAGACTGTGCTTCTTCGATGACCTTTTGAAGAGACGCATTAAACGCTGTGATTTGTAAGTTAATTTTCGTAATGTCCTCTTTAAGGTTGCCGACTTGCTTTTGCACAGACGTCACCTGGGATTTTATTTCACTTTTAGCTTTATTGTTAACATTACCGACGGACGATATGAGCCTCGTGATTTTGTCCTGAAGTTCGCTAATTTTTTGTTGAATTTCACCTGACGTGGCGCCGGTGTGATCTCTTTTCAGGGTATTAATTTCCGCTTCTATGTTAGGTTTAACAGTGCCAAGTTGTCCATTCAGGATTTGTTTAATCTCAGTGTCTAACATGTTGACACCCTCTTTGGCTGATCTGTTCAGCAGGGCTTTTAGTGGAGTGTCGAAGTCGACCGGATCAACGTTATGTTGGACCCTGGCATCGATTTTGTCGGTGAGTGCCACGGCCTTGGTTGGAGGAAACGAAGTAATAGGAGCAAACGATTTTTTAGTCGCATCCGTAAGATTCTCTAATAGCGTCTCAATCTTTTGCTTCACCTCCTTCAGCGCCTTGGTAATTTTATCTCCTGGCTCAACGCCATTGTCTGCGTCGCCGCCGTGTATCTCTTTAATTTGGTCTACTTGCGCTATAGCTGCTTCTAGATTAAAGCCTAGGTTGAAATCAAACATGTTAGATCCATTTGTTTTCTTAGTAGTGAATGACCAAATTGTTTTGGCGTTTTGTCTTGCGGTCGCAGACAGGGCAGCTATAGCGGCCTGAACGGCGTATTCCAGCTGTATTTTGTCCACTTCGGTGGATTCCGAATTTTTAATTTCAAGAACATTCTTCAGTATTGGCGCGATGGTGTTGGCGATTTCAGAAGCCTGAATTTCTCCACCCTTCATTTTCTCATCAAGCGCGTTAGCGAAATTGTTACAAGCGCTTTTAACAGCGATTACATTGGTTATAATATCCTCCTTCGGTTCAACATTAACTTGGTCAATAACACCGGCGTGCTGAAGCTTTGCCATAATCTGTTCCTTTATAGGTTTATGCAATGTTTCTGTCTTACCGTTCAGGAGGAGATCCGTATCCGTAGTACTAAATTTACTACTATGCTTCTGATTTCTTGTGAGATATGTACCAAGCCACTTTTTGACTATCCCATTATTTCGCAGAATCCTTTCAATCCATCCTGTCAAAATACTGCTCTGAAACTTCTTCCTGGTGAAATTTCCAGCATACCCCTTTACCCTATGTTGGATCCCCTTAAGACCATTGTAATCTGTTCCACTGCCGTTAATACGCTTAATAAGCCCCGTTGTTCTTGCATCAAGCACCTCCCAATTGTGGTATATGGTTCTATTCTTCGGATCGGCGTGCCCGTCCATTGGTTCACCAACCTTCTCGTTGATAAGACCAATTTGCTGCATAACGCTGCCAATATAAGTTCTCGAATATTCCTCAACATTATTCCTAATATCCCCCTTAAGTACCTTTATTTTTTCGCTCAACTCAGATTCAATATAAGCCAACTTATTCTCCACCAGTCCCGTAACTTTCTGGCCAACGCTACCAATTGTCCTTAACTGATCATCAAGCACTACCAATTCTGAGGTAATACTTTTGTACACTTGATTGAGTTCATTAGCAATGGTCTCCGTTGCAAGAGGTTGAACGTGCTCATTAATACTCTCCAAATTCTCAACAATCATACGCTGATAATCTCTCACCAGCGTTCCTGACACTTTATCAGCCTCTCCAACTGCCACCGCCAACTCACCCACCAGTTCCATTAAGCGCTTCAAATCAACTTTCTGCGTTTTCTCAACGGCACGGATGCTTTTATCTATAAGGTCGAATTTAGTAGTCACTGCATCTCTGAGCACTGCAGATTTTGCCTGTATTTCCTGAGTTACATGCTCTTCCTGTTTCATAAACTCACTATCTACAGCCTTCACAGCTGGGCCGAATGCCGGGTTCGTGGCAACAGCCCCTAAGTGCGCAACCACTTTTTTCACAGGCATATATTCATTCATTATTCGTGTGCTAAGTGATTTATCTAGTATATTAATTTGTTGTTTTTCTATGTCCGTGACGTCCTCCTCGATCCTCTGGATCGTTGTCTTCCACTTGTTGAGTTGCTTCTCCAGGCCCTCGCCTCCACGGTTCTTCACCTCTTGAAAGTATTGTCCACCTGCATCAGATGATAATTTACCAATCAACTCACCTAATTCCGTAGTCACTTCTCCCGTCTTCCCCTCCACCTGCGCAGCATGATTTTTCAACCACCCACTTACCTGAGTCACGGCGTTCCCGAAGGCCTCACGGCCTTTACCTACACTATCATTTAATTTGTTAATTGTCTTAGTAATATTAATATCATGATTATCATCATAAGTTGTAACGTTCTCATCATCCTTCACACTCTCAAGAACACCATGAAGGAAAGACATCACCCCGTCACACAGCCTGTCAAGGTCGGAGTACACGATGCCATCGCCCGAGTAGCCTTTGGAAGTTTCTTGGTAACCAAGGAACTTTTCCAAGCCAGAGCACAGGTTAGTAAGGATATCATGTGGATTATTTTAGGCACACTTTTAGGGTGATTTGGGGGAATTTGGGGAAAGGCGATTTTAGGTCAAGGGGCAGTGACGGGGTGAGGGAGGTGGGTGGACAAGGCGAGGGAGGTGAAGGGGCGAAAGAGGGCGATGAAGGGGGAAGATGGGTGGAGGTAAGGGGATTTTAGGGGTGGAGGGAGAAAGTGGAAAATGAGGATTTGGGTGAGGGACGCCGACGGAGGAGGTGAGGGAGGGGGTGAAGGGAGGGAGCGACAGCGACCAGTGAAAGAAGGGGAGTGGTTGAGTGGGTGGGTGGGTGGTTGGGTGAGTGAGTGGGTGGGTGAGTGGTTGAGTGGTTGGGTGAGTGAGTGAGTGGTTGAGTGGGTGGTTGGGTGAGTGGTTGAGTGGTTGGGTGAGTGAGTGAGTGGTTGGGTGAGTGGTTGAGTGAGTGGGTGGGTGAGTGAGTGGGTGAGTGAGTGGTTGAGTGAGTGGTGAGTGGTTGAGTGGGTGGGTGAGTGGGTGAGTGGTTGAGTGGTTGAGTGTGTGAGTGAGTGGCTGAGTGGCTGAGTGGGTGAGTGAGTGAGTGGGTGGGTGGGTGAGTGGTTGAGTGGTTGAGTGAGTGGGTGGGTGGTTGAGTGGGTGAGTGGTTGAGTGGGTGAGTGAGTGGGTGGTTGAGTGAGTGAGTGGGTGAGCATGTGAGTGAGCGGTACACAGATCACACGTGAAGGCACGATTATGGTGAGAAGTACTTGACGTTGGCGAGTGCCCTGACGCGTGCGGCGGCGAGGAGGGACTGTGCGGCGATGCGGTGGCTTGAGGGTGATCTCAGGTGGGAGCGTATCCTCAGGACGTCGAGGCGGACGACGGTGATGTGCAGCAGGTACAGGAGCGACAGCGACCAGAGGGCTAATAAGAGGTATGAGAAGGGTGTACGTATTGCCCAGATGAAATCATCGATTTCATCAAACAATTCTTTGAAGTATCCGTTCGTTAAAACTCTGTTCAACTGCTTTACGAAATTGTCACATGTCTTCTTGCTTCCGGATCCCATTAACTCTTTCGGCATTCCGAATGTGAAACCGTACTGGTAGAATACGGACATAGGTCCTTTGCACTCGACGATCGAAGTGCAACTGCAACTTATTTTGGCAGGCGTCGGAACTTTTGGAGGTTGCGATGTTTCTTCCTCAGTGACGCCGTGTTTACCAAAACCGCATTTACATGAACAACCATACGCTTGACAAGAGATGTCATTGAACGCCTTAAGCAACTGATCAAGCAAATCCCAGAATGTCCATGCCAACCGGCAAAGCCATGACAGATACAAGGCTTTATGTTTCTGAGGATATGTGTGACAGGCGTCGTGGCAGAGTGCTTTGAGGTAGGGAGCGCAGGTGGAATCGGGAGCACATTGTTTTGTCTTATCATGCGATGGGTTCGGTGACAAAGTGTGAAGACCATGATGATTATCGTCCGCTATTGCGCCGTTGTGTTCGTTGTCAGAGCAATACAATGTATTAAACGCATCTGTAAGCTTCGAATTTTGGTAACTTTGGTGAAGCCACATATCATTTTTGAACGGGAAACTTTCGTTGATTGCTTGAACAATCGCCCCCTCTACCGTGTTGTTAGGCCCATACACTGAACCATACGCTTTCTGGAATATGTTACAGTAGTACGACAACATCTCTGCCAAGCCCTTCGGTGGAGAGGGCGATATGCATTGTAACGAATGCACTAATTCACACAGAACTGAGCCGCCATTCTTACAAAACGTAGCAAGCAGATCAACGAGGTCATCGCCACGGCCTGTAATAGAACCCGCAGTTGCCAAATCTGCAAAGCCCATCGGGGTGATACACTGCCCAACCAGTGAGCCCTTAGGGCACGTTGAGCAAGTGGGCTGGCAACCGACAGCTGTGAACTTATGCGGCATGAAACCAGGAAGCCCGTCCATAAGATGGGCCTGAAGCGGGGACTTTGGTAAGCAATTTGGTTGGTCATTTGGATGACCATTTGGTTGGCACTTAGGTTGACTCTTTGGTTGGTTGTTTGAGTTATCGTTTGGTTCATTGCAGTCCCACTGGTAGGTGCCGACGTGCTGACCATACTGACACTCACGCCACCCGTTGCCGTCGGATGCTGTGTACCTACATTGTTGGTATAAGAAAGACACTGCACGCAACAAACGCATACACATATATTTCAACATGCCAAGCAACGACGACGGATCACCCGGGTAATAGAATTGTCCGTGGTTGTTCTCAAAGCAACAGGCATACGGATACGCAGCGTGGTTAAGGCCAAGGCCGTTGCCCTGGATGGAGACTAATAATTTAGGTGCCAATTTACATATAGTTTTAATGTTACCGTATAGGTGTTCCAAGGATCTCTGCATAACTGCATCGTCCTTGTTGGGGAATGCACCGGTTACCTTGTCTTGCTCATTGAGCATCTTATCACAGTGCCCCTTAATTGTTTCATAAACTGCAGTATGTGGGAGACCGGAAAGCCACACACAAATATCACGTACACTGCAAGGATGCTTTTTGGACTTAGGGAGTCCGAGGTGGCAAGCGGAGTAATACTCAGCGACGTGAGATGTGAGACATTTAAGTAGGTCGAAGAAATCATATTGATTTTTAGTGTCTTTGAATGATGGGCATTTTCGAAGATGTTCGTTAGTGTTGGCGGTGAGAATGATCTTCTCAAAAAGGTCTCGAGAAATGTTTCCCCCCCTCATGCCTGTATGACATCTCAGCTCTCCTTCATAGGACTCTTCCAACCTGGAAACCCTGTAGCCGCAGTCCTGGAAAAATGCGCCAAGGGGATTGTAAACACCTGACTTAGTAATGAGGGAAATTTTGTTTTCCTTCCACTTTCCGTCTGTCTTGTGACATCTCTTGTGAAGCTCACGTAGATCGTGAGTCAAAGTCTTGAGAATGGTGACGAGAATTTGGGCGCATTTCGGTCTTTCGGAATCTTCCAGAGAATTCCATTCTTTACCACTGTACCTGCTGACGTACTGCTTGCGTAGCTGCTCGTGGAGGTCCGTGACGCCGCGCCTTATGACGTTGAGCAGGGGAGAGGCGTCGGCGAATTCCTTGGGGGTGAAGTTGTGCAGCGCTTTTTTGAGCGCGTCGATTTTGTCGGAGACTTCGCGGTGGAAGTGTCCTTTGGAGTACATTGTGGAGAGGACTTGGAGCAGGGCGGAGGTGACTGGTTGGATGGTTGTGGAATGAGGAGAGACGTCGGATTGTGATTTGAATTTACCAAAGAATGTATCATAAAAGCTTTTTACTCTTTTGGCTAATAAGTCAAGCGTTGCAGAGGTTAAGCCTTGCAGGCTTTCTGTCTTGAAAGTGTCACTGAGCTTCCTCATCAGGCCTTTCAGGCCTGCGTTGGTATCGTCAGTAATGATCTTCTGGATTTCGGAAGTATACTTTGAAACGCTTTCCTGCAGAGCTTTTAACTCAGCTTTCTTTTGATTGCTGTAAAATTCACGGACGTCATACTGCAAATCATTGAATGCGTCTCTTACCCGCTTCTGCAGAGCGATTCTGAGTTGTTGAAACTCCACGCTTGCGGTGCCACGCGCACCTCCTAGGGCTTCTTCGAGAGCCTTTATTGCAGTGTCGAAGGCTTGTTCGGCAGCGCTTACATTTTGATGGATAGTATCAATATAATTTTGTAAAGTTCCAATGTCCTGTTGCAATTGGTTCATTAGCCTTTCGGCCTCCTGTTGAGCATCTTCGACAGCTCCTGGCAGAGCTTCGAGATTGTCAATGCTTGCAAGGATTGTATCTATGGCAGTGGTTACTTTCTGGACTTCCAAGTTCTTCACCTTTTGAATCTCCGCCTTGATCCTCATGAGGCATTTGCCACACTTAGGGTCATCTCCCCATTCTTGATCAGTCTCACCAAGAGCCTTGTCTCTCAAGTCTTCCGATTTCGTTTTAACAGTGTTACCGGCTGAGTGGATTTGACCAATCAGGGTGGTGAAGGGAGTAGTTATGCCTGTGTCAAACTGTTCAATGAATTTTTTACCGGTAGTGAATTCCGTACCAACTAGCTTAACTTCTAGACTTAAAGTGCTAAGTTGACTGTTGGTTTCTTGAATGCTGCTGAATTCGGGCGAACGAGCAAATTGGGACTGAGATTGGGAATGCAAATTCCGAATGAATTGCTGAGCAAATTGGGACTGAGATTGGGAATGCAAATTCCGAATGAATTGCTGAGCAAATTGGGACGCCTCATCAAGTGACTTTATTTCTGTCGACACTGATGGCGAAGCAACATTCAAGTTTGCAGTGGCTGTTTGTGATTCTGTCTTAATCTTGTCATTCAAGACGGCGACTGCGTCGTTCACCACATTTCGTATACCAGCTGCTAACTCGGAGAGGGATGAGAGGTGTTGGGAGACATGAGTAGTGGATAGTTGGCTCGGCTGACCACTAAATGTCTGAGGCAGCTGCCGTTCAATTTGCTGAACCTGTGATTCCAATGGCGGTAATTCATTAAGTGAACTAGTAAGTGACTCGCTAGGTGAAAGTTGAGAACTCAGACGTAGATATTGAGGATGCTGCGGATGCGGACTTCCTCCATTATTCCTTTGTACCTGTTGTGCAGCATCTCTGACAGCACTCGAAATCTTAATCAGCGGATTAGTAGAGGTCTGTAATTCCGGAGGCAATTGACGCGGAAGTTGACCCCTCGCAGCACCAGGAGCAGGAGTCTGGACCCATGATTTATATTGCTCTTGCACCTCTCTGAATTTCGCATCCACTATTCTTGTCACCTCACTGCCAAAGTTCTCCAGATGATACATGGCCTGCTGGGCATAGCCTTTCAGTTCTTCCTGTTTTAGTTTGACATAATGCTGTTGAGTGGTGTCTCTTAAACGTTGGATTTCTTCAGTGATAATATTTGTTTTCTTTTTGTCAAGCTGATCTATAATCTGAGTGACGTTTTGCAGAGCGGCACTCACAACGCTCCCGGCCGCAGCGTTCCACTGACTAAAATCCTCAAGTCTGCTCGCCAGATCCTTACCGATCTTTTGAACATTTTCATTTATTTTCTCAACCTCTTCCTTGAACTTTGATTTTCCTTTAGATGCCTGCGCTTCGTCATAGGGGTCAATGCTCTTAATGAAACCTTTTAGCGTCGTAAATTGATCCTCAATTTGTTTTTTGTAATTCTTATCAAAATTCTTAAGCATCTTGTCAGACATCTCTAATGCGTCACTTATGGACTTATTAATATTGTCGAATTTAGCAACTTTTTCTTCCCTAAGATTCTTAATTTTGTTTTCGATATTCGAAAACTTCGCATTCAACGTTCCTTGAACACCGTGTATCCTCGTTTGAATATGTTTATTAACACTTTCCGGAACCTTAATGAACTTACTGTCAAGCTCATTCAGAGAACATATAACACTCTCATCGTGAACCGTTGCTTCAAAGTTCTCAATAACTTGTTTTATAAAGCCTACATTAGGCGACAATTTGTCTCGTAAATTTTTGTCCACTCCTTTTAATGCTTCCACTGAAGTCAATGCATTAGCAAGATAGTCGCCGGCCAATCCCTGCCAGTTCTCCAACTGCTCCTTAAGTGGCTTATGTTCCATGCTCGTAGACATATGCCCCTTAATAGTAATTTCAAGACTCTCCAACGGCCTCATCACTCCTTTATTACTTTCATCCACCCCGCTCACCCACTGCTTAATCCCCTTACTCACGGCGACAATACTACTATCAAAATGCTTTCTATTATAGAGAGCGTCAGTAATTTTTTGAAGGACGCCAGGCAAATTATTATTGTATTTAGACAAATTTGGATTGTCATTTACATCCTTCAGAACTCCATGAAGGAAAGACATCACCCCGTCGCAGAGCCTGTCAAGGTCCGAGTACACGATGCCAGTGCCATCGTAGCCTTTGGAAGTTTCATTGTACCCTAAAAATGTTTGGAGACCTGTACACAATTTATCTAAAATGTTTTCACATTCTCCACTTTGAGGAGTTTGAACACTCTGATGAAATGTAATAAGCATTCCAAGACTTTCAAGAGACTCCAACGAAGCCTCATGAGACATCAATTTAGCCTGCGCAGTTTCAAGAGGATGAGAAAGATGGGAGGGAATGGAGATATTTTTAGGATTATTAATAGGTTATAAGGGGATTATTAAGCACATTTTCAGGGCGATTTGGGGGAGTTTGGGTAAAGGTCAAATTAGGGTGAAGGAGGCAGTGAGGGAGGAGGGTGGCCAGGGTGAGGGATGTGAAGGGGCGAAAGAGGGCGATGAAGGAGGAAGATGGGTTGAGGAGAGGCGATTTTGGTGGTGGAGGGGGAAGGCGGAAAATGAGGATTTGGGTGAGGGACGCCGACGGAGGAGGTGATGGAGGGGTGATGGCAGGGAGCGAAGCGACCAGTGAAGGAGGGAGGTGAGTGGTGAGTATGTGAGTGGGTGAGTGGGTGAGTGGGTGGGTGGTTGAGTGAGTGGGTGAGTGAGTGGGTGAGTGGTTGAGTGAGTGAGTGGGTGGGTGAGTGAGTGAGTGGGTGAGTGAGTGGGTGATTAGGTGGGTGAGTGGTTGAGTGAGTGAGTGGGTGGGTGAGTGAGTGAGTGGTTGAGTGGGTGGTTGAGTGTGTGAGTGGGTGGTTGAGTGGGTGAGTGAGTGAGAAGGTGAGTGGGTGGTTGAGTGAGTGGGTGGTTGAGTGGGTGAGTGGGTGAGTTGGTGGGTGAGTGGGTGGGTGAGTGAGTGGGTGAGTGAGTGGGTGGGTGAGTGAGTGATTGAGTGGGTGGTTGAGTGGTTGAGTGGTTGAGTGGTTGAGTGGGTGGTTGAGTGGTTGAGTGAGTATGTGAGTGGGTGGGTGAGTGGGTGAGTGAGTGAGTGAGTGAGTGAGTGAGTGGGTGAGTGGTTGAGTGGGTGGTTGAGTGAGGGGGTGGGTGAGTGGGTGAGTGGGTGAGTTGGTGGTTGAGTGAGTGGGTGGTTGAGTGAGTGGTTGAGTGAGTGGGTGGTTGAGTGGTTGAGTGGGTGGTTGAGTGGGTGGGTGAGTGGGTGGTTGAGTGGGTGGTTGAGTGAGTGGTTGAGTGGGTGGTTGAGTGAGTGGTTGAGTGGGTGAGTGGTTGAGTGAGTGGTTGAGTGAGTGAGTGGGTGGTTGAGTGGGTGGTTGAGTGGTTGAGTGAGTGGGTGGGTGGTTGAGTGGTTGAGTGAGTGGGTGTGTGGGTGGTTGAGTGGTTGAGTGAGTGGTGAGTGGTTGAGTGGTTGAGTGAGTGGTGAGTGGTTGAGTGGTTGAGTGGGTGAGTATGTGAGTGGTTGAGTGAGTGGGTGAGTGAGTGTTACACAGATCACACGTGAAGGCACGATTATGGTGAGAAGTACTTGACGTTGGCGAGTGCCCTGACGCGTGCGGCGGCGAGGAGGGACTGGGCGGCGATGCGGTGGCTTGCGGGTGATTTCAGGTGGGAGCGGATCCTCAGCACGTCGAGGCGGACTACGGCGATGTGCAGCAGGTAGAGCAAAGAGAGGGACCAGAGGGCTACAAGTGTCCATGTAAAGGGCGCTCGTATTGCAAATATGAAGTCGTCGATTGCTGTGAATATAGTGGAGAAGTAATTCGATTCGATGACTTTTCGAAGTTGAGCGCAGAAATTGTCACACCGCTTGGTGTTGTGCAGGCTCTTAGCATTACCAAATGTGAAGCCATATTTATATAACGTCGGTAGTACGCCACCACACTGAGCGACTGAGTTACATTTACAGGCATCCTTATCGCCGTGTTTTCCAGATTTACAGGCACATTTGCTGCATCCGTGCGCTTTGCATTCAATTCCTTTGAATGCGTCAAATAATTCTTTCAACAGATCCCAGAGTTGCCATGCGAGGTGTATGTACCACGATATAAATAGCCCAGCGTGTTTCTGCGCATAAGAGTGTTGTGCATGGAAGCATAATGGCTGAATATACGGGCCGCACGTGCCTGCATTTCTACACTTCGATCGGACTGTAATACTCGACAGGTCCGAGTGCGTGATAGCATCGGATTCAGCACCGCTGTGATCACTTGAGGAATAGTGAAGCGTTCGTAGCGGTACGGTGAGCTGCTCCGCTTGGAAGTTATTGTGGAAATCTTCAGAGAAGGGGAATGACATACGCACGCATTTGTCAATTTGATCTATCTGTTTTTGGTCTTGATCGTATGATGTTCCATTCCATCTCTGCATACCGTTGCAGTAGAACGCAAACATATCGCCTAAACTTCTGGGAGGAGATGGTAGCATAGCGATTAGACAACGAAGCAGTGAACATAGTGGTGAATCTGCATTACCGCACATGTCGGAGAGGACATCGTATATTTCCTTACCGAGACCCTCTTTCGATCCTGCACTGGTCAGGTCCCAGAAACCCATCGGGGTAATACATTGTTGACCACGGGACGCTTTTGGGCAGGTATAACATTTAGCTGAGCAACCGACGGACTCTAATTTGTGTGGTAGCCAACCGGGTAACTGGTCTGTTAGATGAGCCTGAAGCGGGGACTTTGGTTGGCAATTTGGTTGGTCGTTTGGTTGGCACCTTGGTTTGCTGTTCGACTGGCCTGTAGGTTTGTTGCAATTCCATTGGTAACCGGGGATGCCCTGACCGTATGAGCAGTCAGCCCACCCGTTAGCCAATGATGCATCATATTTACATCGTGTTCGCAATAAGTTTAGCGCACTTAGTAGACGTGTACATATATCTTTTAACATGTCTAATAATTCTGTGACGCTTTGAGGGTAGTAAAAGTTACGTGAGTTGTCACAAAAATTGCACGCATACGGGTAGTCGGCCTGGTCGAAACCACGACCGTGGCCCTGTATAGTGGTTAGGAAGTTGTAGGTAATTTGGCAAGTAGCGTATAGGCTATGAGACAAGTTGTATCTAAGAGCTTGACCAATGACGGGGTCATCTTTGTTGGGGAATTTGCCTGTTGATTTATTTTGCACATTAAGCTGTTTTTTGCAGTGGCCATTAATCTGCGTGAAGACTAATGTATACGGTAGACCACAAATCCAAGCCGACATGTCTTTAATTGAGCACGGATATATTTTGGAAACAGATATTTTAAAGTGGCACGCCTTAAAGTAATCTGCCAGGCTCCAGTATAGCAATGACAGGGGGCCCTGCGATAACCGAATCGCCTGAAGGTATATCTCGAAATAAGGATGTGAATGTTTATCTGGGTAAGTTTTGAAATCAAACGTGTAAAAAAACGCTTCGCGTAATTTTTTGGCAACATGATCACCAGTATTATTTTTATTAATCAAATTAGGAATGTCATAACCCAGCTTTTCGAAATGCGTTTGTAGAGCATCATTTTTGTATTTAGTACCATCGATGCTAAAGGCTGAAAACGTGGTCGAGCAGTGATAGTACAAGAAATGCAGTTGCTCATACAGCGTGGAGGTTATAGTGAGCAGGACTTTAGCGGCCTTTCGGCCTTCCTCAGTGAACTTATCTTGCGTTTCGACGCCTTTTGTGGTAGATGTCATTTCGTGAATCACCCACACATCTGTAGGGACTTGGCTATCATACTTACTGATGTACACTTTCTTCATTTCGGCCACAAATACACCAAGTCCTTTGCGGACACCATCTAGAATTGCGGTGTTCGGGTTGGCAAAGTCTTTCGGAGTGAGAGCTGTGATTGCTGATTCAACGGCGTCCAGCATTCCGGGCACCAGATGGTCGTATCTATTTGTATCAGTGATGTGGGTTAATAAGATGCTAAACGTGGTATAAACCTTGTCGAGTCTAGCAGCATATGGCTCTGGAGTGTTGGGAGTAGGAGGATTTTTCTTCTCATACTCTTGCTGGTGAACTCTCTTGATTTCTTGATCAACATAATTTCTTACTGTAGTGAAGAAGCTGTGCAATGCTATGGATAGATGTGGGACACTGTTTTCAGTAAGGCTTTTAAGCTTGTTAATGTTTTTACCCGTCGGTGTCCCGTCGATATCTTCCACCTTCCCTTCCAGCGTCTTCATAAACCCCTTGAACCCTACGCGCAGGTCCTCCTCGATCTGCGCGGGCAAATCAAATAATTGGCTCCTAATTTTGCTTGAAAATGCCTGCAACATTTTTCGTATGGATGTAACGTAATGTTTGCGGGCTTGGTGGGTGAGTTTATTTTTTGCGTCGTTAATTTTGGAATCGACGTAATTAGTTATGGTGGAGATACATTCCCTCTCCAATCTCGGAACGTCTGAGGTTATAAAGCTATCCGCATCCTGGATGACCATATTCACATATTTCTTTCTCAAATCCTGGAATTTTCCTTTCAGCATGGTGAGCGAGTGACCGATGTTGGCGTCTCTCAATAATTTAAGAGTCGCACGCACTCCATCGTTGGCGGTTTCTGATATCGACTTGGTGAGGGAGTTAACATTATTGGTGATTGCGCTGGACAGGTTGCTTACATCTCTTGTAATCTCCTCAACGGTGATGCTTGAAGCTTCAGCTCCAATCTCCTTGATCGCGGCAGGAAGGGCGCCGTCAAGCTTATAGATGTTAGTGGTCGCAGCTGTAAGGCTTGCTTGGTCGACTTGCTGTTTGTAATGCTCGAAAACAGTGCGGTCGGTGGTATTTTTAATGCTAACTTTATTGGGCTTGTCTTCCGGCAACTGCGCGTCGAGCGTGTCGCTCACCGCCTTGATCGCTAAGTCGACGGCTTGGGCGGTGCCTGGTTGGCCGGGTTTGGGAGAACCATGATTTTGGCCAACCGCATTTTCAACCTTACCAAAAAGCTCTTTAGCCGCGCTCAAGGCACTGTTAATGTTCACCAGTTTACACTTTTGAGCAAGGGTTTTAACCTGCTCACCCGCCTGCCTGGCGGTGGATGCGAGCGTGGCTAAAGCCATTTCAACCGATTGCGTTAAATCGGATTTATCATACGTAAGGCGAGAAGACGATTGAGTATCACGAATGACATTTTCAACCAATTGGACAATTGTTGAAGCATTTCCAGATATGTCACTCTGCAGCTTTTGTGCAAAGGCATTGAGACAAGACTGTATGGATGTCAATTTTAGATCAACTTTATCGTCCGTCAATGGAGGCTGTCCCAAAAGGCTCTTAACATGTTCTACAATTTTTTCTTTAACTGTGTCTCTTATGATGTTCAGACCTTTTTTCTGAAATCCTGTCTTGAAATGAGCATCTTGGTTAAGATAAAATCCGAGAGATGTCTTCAAAGGTTCGTCACTTTCCAGTTTCAGAATATCGTCCACCCATATTTTCACAGTACTTTCAAAATTCCTACTGTACTCCCCAACATATCCCTGCACCGCCTGAACAATCTGATTTAGACCATTCGGGCTTCTTACACCACTTCCCGATATCTCATTAAACCGCCCTTTAATATGTTGGAAAATCTTTTCAATCTTCTTCTTTTGATCATCTGACACCCCGTTGCCTTGTGGATCAATAACCTTATACAGCGCCCCAATCCTCTCCGTAATAGCATCCACCTTACTTTTTATCGCCTCCCTCACCCCAAACAAATCCTGCTTCAGCTCGTCGTCCATCGTTTTCACGGCCGTGAGGGCTTCGGTGACCAGACCTTTCAACCCCGGCTTAACCTGCGCATCAACGTAATATGTGAGCTCGTTTGTCTTGCGCTCTAGTTCCTTCACAGCATCTTCAACCCTTTTCTTCCAACTATCTTTACCTCCATTGGCCATGTTTATAATCAATTCAGTATCCCTAATGGTGCCTTCCAAAACCTTAGTGGCCTCTTTCATCCATGATTTTAGATTGTATTCATACTCCTCCAGAGTGTCCCTAATTTTAACAAGGAGGCTTTTTATATCCTTCACCAATCTTATCAACTCCTCGACAAACTTCTTTATTTCCGTTTTAATCTGATCTTTAACACATATTCGGAGAAACTCCAGCGCCTCACGAATTGTGTCCGCCATGCTGTTTAAGTCATTCTGCTGCTTCTTAGCCAACCTGCTAAGACTATCACGTTCACGCAAAATATTATTTTTGACAATGAAAATATTATTACGCAAATTAGAATTTAAGTCTAGAACCTTATTTTGTGCGTTGTACATTTCTTTCTCGAAAGTGTCAGCACGGCTAAGACAGTCCGTCAACCTGTCATGGATAGATGTTTCCGCCTTCCTCACTTTCTCGAAATCACCTGCATCAGAATGATCTTTTAAAATTCCACTCACCTGAGTTTGAAGACTCTCCATATTCCTCTGCATCCCAGTTACAATTGTCTTGACCGCCGTATTAGATCTCTCCACCTCCCTATTATACCCACGGACACCGGCGGCCACCTGGCCAATGACACTCTTAAAACCCTCATGACCTGAACACAAATAACGTCCAAGTTGATCAACAACATTATCTTTTAGTTGTTTTTTACCAACACTGTAAGGCTGTTTTGCGTGGACATCTTTAAGCACTGAGTGCAAGAACGCCATCACCCCGTCGCACAGCCTGTCAAGGTCGGAGTACACGATGCCGGAGCCGGTGTAATTCCCTTTCTCGTAGCCGAGAAATTTTTCGAGGCCTGTGCAGAGGTTATCTAAAAGGTTTTTACAACTTTGTTCGTTAACATGATTTTTTTGAATTTTCCCAGCAAATTCACAAAGCTCTTTCAGTGTCTTGAGAGACCTCTTGGAAGCATTATGAGACTGAAGATCCTTATTAAGTTTGTCAACTTCAGAGGCATTTTGAGGAGATTGATAGGCAATTGTAAGAAATAAAAAGGCTTATTTTAGGCACATTTTAGGGCGATTTGGGGGAGTTTGGGGAAAGGTCAAATTAGGGTGAAGGAGGCAGTGAGGGGTGAGGGAGGTGGGTGGACAAGGCGAGGAGGTGAAGGCGAGAGAG